TGACGCCAGTCGATAGTCTTGGGTACTCCAGTTTTTAATTTTGTTTGAGCCTGTCAAGAGAACCCAGATGTCTGGTCTGAAGAAGAGTTGTCACAGCCTGGTTGTCCAACCGCATGCTTCCACCACCCAGGCACTGAGAGACTGACCACTCCCTAGCGTTTTCAAACCATGGCTTGCACACCTTGGGGGTCAAGTTGGGGGAGGGGTTCTCTGTAGATATGGAAACTTGCAATTCCCGGCCGGTCACCCCAGCCTGCTGGGCCCAAGAACCTGGGGAATGCGGAACCAGAGGCCGAGGAGCCACGACCAGTCGACGAGATAGATAAACCACCGTTCCCATTGTGTTTTTGGACATGGTCAAGATACTAAAACGAGGCTTTCATCCGGTCCGTCAACCACCAACGCAGCAATCCCCAAAATGGGCTTGGAAAAACCAAGTTCACAGCCCACGGCCACGACCGACCACGGATCCATCCACGGCGACCCAGACATCGATCCTGCCATAGAGAAAGGCGACCATGGTGAAATCACCCAGATCCAGGGCGATGCTCACTTCTACGAAACTGTCACGGCTGCGCCTTTGAACCCTTGGTCCAAGACCAGTCTGCAGCTCTACTTGATTTTGCTGGTTGCCGCACTCAACGCAACCGCCTCTGGTTTCGACGGCGTATGTTCAAGCTCAATGACCCCAAAATCATGCCTTTGTTTATTTTATAACACGTCATCTAGTCCATTTTCAGTTCCATCAATGCTATGGATCAGTACAAGGACTACTTTCACCACACCGAGCTTGGGTCTACCACCGGCATGTTCGTATTACCGTTCCTGGCCCACGTAAATGGCCATGGCCCCCTTCCAAATTGCTGATTCCAAACCAGCATCTTCATGATCTACACTGTTGGGAACATGATTGGATCTCTATTCACCGGTCCCATCTGCGACCACTTTGGCCGTCGAGCGGGCATGATGACTGGATCTGTTCTGATCATGATTGGAGCTGCCATCCAGACTGCTGCCCAGAACGATTCCCACCTCCTCGGTGGACGGTTTATCCTCGGATTCGGTGTTTCTATCGGGACGTCCTCCGCTCCCACTTACGCCCTCGAGCTCGCCCCTCCCCAATGGCGAGCCCGTGTTGTCGGTTATTATAACACTTGTATGGACCAACCCCTGGAAATGCCCACTGTCTACTCCTTTAGCTGACGCCTCGTTTTAGTCTTCTACACTGGATCCATATTGGCCACCGGCGTAGCATATGCCTCTGCCAAAAACGACAGCGAGCTCGCTTTTCGGTTGCCCCTGGGTCTTCAGCTGATCCCGCCCGCCTTCATCTTCGTTGGAGCTTGCCTCGTTCCCGAATCTCCCCGGTGGCTCACCATGAAGGGCAGGAAGGAAAAAGCCGCTTCCGTTTTAGCCAAATATCACGGTGATGGTGACATGGAACATCCCATGGTCAAACTTGAGATTCAAGAATTCGAGCAGAACATCGAGCTGCAGGCGGCTTCCAGCGTGTGGAACTACTGGGCTCTTGTCGACACGCATAACGCCCGTTGGCGATTTGCCATGATGGCCTTCATGTCCATCTTTGCTCAGATGGCGGGTAACTCGGTTTTGACGTACTACCTGCCCTCCATGTACAAGCTTCTCGGTATCCAGACAACCGAAAAGCGACTGCTGCTTACCTTTATGAACTCGATTGTTTCTTGTGCTGGCGCCGTTGCTGGTTCGGCAACCAATGATGGCATTGGCAGGCGAACCAAACTGTGGGTTGGCAGTATTGTTCTGGCAGGTCTTTTCGGCGGCGTGACGGGATTCTCGAGCCACTTTGAGGACAAGACCAAGACTGTCAGCCCAGCGCTCTCCAATGGTGGTGTTGCCTTCGTCTTCCTTTTCGGATGCGCCTATTCATTTGTCTACACTCCGCTTACCGCCACGTACTGTGCCGAAGTTTTGGCTACGCCTACTCGTGCCAAGGGAATGGGAATTCACGTCATTCTGTCCAACTGCGCCAACTTGTACAATACTTATGTTACAGCTATTGCTCTGGACTCGATCGACTGGAGGTACTACCTCATCTTTGTAGGCCTGAACCTGATCTATGGTGTCGTATGGTTCGTCTTTGGTGTTGAGACTCGTGGCCGCACCCTCGAGGAGATGGACGACGTCTTCAATGCCAAGTTTCCACCCCGTGCTGCCCTGAAGAAGGCCGTCATGGTACGACAAGGGGATGGACACTTGCAAGGACTGGATGGGGACGATGCATAGGCGCTCAACTACCGCTTAATAATGTTTTGAAGGGAGGTGTATTGGATCAGCCTGGCGGCGATGGATATTTATGATTTAGCGTTGATGAATAAAGATTGCAAGTCTATGAGGTTCTGCATCGTTTGCATCATGTGTGAAGTGCCCTAGTACCTACAAAGTACACAATACACACCCACCCTGTACCTAGGCATTGTGCTCACGACTAGGGCTAGAAGAGTTATTACATTTTATCAGAGTAACCTTCGGCAGTGCATAGCTCTACGCATCAAAAGACAATGAGCACCCCCCTATACCACTCACCGTCTGAAGATGTAGACGACATTATCAGCAAGCTGGAACGTGAACAAGCGACAATGGGATGTCGACCGGGAGCAACGCCTGACGCAATCTTCCGATCCGACGGGAAACATTCGTACAAGTTGGAATGCGAATTGCTGCACGCAAAATTGAAGACGACAAAGTCGACGTCATTCGCCTTGGCATCGCCGCTTCCAAATACTGGCAAAGAGATGCCAACTTCGCCGCTCAGTGCTTCTTGGAGGCATTCCGCGCCAATTTGCGCGACAGGCATACTACTAATGGCGTTGCCGACTCTAGGAGCATGAGTATCAAGCTTAGGCGTCTTTCAGAAGAGCAGGGACAGTGCTCGCAGCAGTTTCGTCGACAAAGAGAATCAATTACAGACGAAGAGTCCTGGGAAAAGGAGAGGGATAGTCGGGAGCAAGGCCAGCCAATACCGACGCCGCGCAAATACCACCTCTGATGGTTCGTGGGCACATTGTGTTCAACATTCTGCCGTCCAACTACTCTAGCTACGCCGCACCGCCTTTATCGCACCATTCTGTCAACCTTTTCAAGCATGGACTTGTCCAAATATGTACTTATATTGCAAGTTAAATCGGCCAAAGAGATACCCAGTGATGATGATGTGCCTGACGCTGATGTCCTCGGCCTCCGAAATAACCAGAGTTACAAGTTCAAGCCACCAAGCACGGAAGGCGGCCCGGGGGTAAGCTGGAAGGGCGGGCAGTCATCCAACTTGACAGGACGATGCTATTCCTTCCTATCCGAAGAAAATATCCATTCCTCACGTGGCTGGGTGATGGGCTCTAGCCCCGCCGACAGTTGCGATTTTCGAACTGCCGTGGATAATCAGGGTGGTGTCAGTAGAGAGCATCTGCGAATTGATATTAGCCCAGATGACCACTGCCACCCCCGGGTGAACAACTTGTCGAGGAACCCGATTAGAGTTTGGCATGGGAACCGTCTAGTAGAACTGGCTACTGGAGAACACACAGTCATTACCGAACGGGTGAGAATCGAGCTTGGGCATCTTATAATACCGGCTTGGCGCCCTCGGTTGTCTCTAGAGGAAATGAGACGATTCAAGGAGGTGCCAACAGGTTTCATCATGACTACATGCGTGCTATACCAAGGCCGCCCGAACGCTATCTTACGGCTGAAACCCCGGATATAAGACTGGGCATGGGGGGGGGGGGGGGGGGAGGGGGGGGAGGGAGAAGAAAGGGGGGG